AAACATAACAATGTAATACATGAATACATAAATATTTTATAACAATCTTTCTTTGAAAATATAATGCTCAATATCGCGTTATGGAGCATTAAAAACAATATATAAAATGAAATATTCAGTTACTGGATTTTTTTTTTCTGAAATAACATTTTCTTTAACTGACATATTTTAAGAGAAATATAATTTTTGCAAATAAAACAAATTTTACAATCAATTCTCCGAATAGTATCTGGATTATTCTTCAAATTCAGAGTTGAGACAAGAGAAATGAAAATACACAAAAATACTAGTTAGTTTAAATTTTAGATTTTTGGAAATGCGTCTGACCCAAAATTTTCAGCATGTTCTCGTCTATATATACTTTTTCTAATGACACGAGTCAATGTGAAAAAATATCAGTTATACAACAAAGAATTTGGAAGTTCCAAGGTTAATATACATTTATTCCTTATCAAGCGTTACCCAATAAATCCTCCCCTGTGTTTGAAAAGAGATTCTGCCTTGGAACAGACACTCTCTGCCAAAGCGAATTACCTATTTTGAACCTTTCACGTGAGTGAAAATTGATATCTTGATGATTTGCGACCCCAGATTTCTAATAAAAAAAAGTTTCAATCTTTAGGAAAAAATAACTCGGCTACTTTCATCGGAAAAACCGAACGTGTATATAAACTGATATCATTTTCAAGTATAAATCTTCTTTACGCTTTCTTCCCCGAATACAATGCTCGAGAACAACTCAAGGTTGAGATTTACTAAATGCGCTGTGTAATAGGAACGTAAGAAGATGTAGAAGGTAGTGAAGTTTATGAGGATAAGGATTATAGATAACGATTGCATTTGACTTGAAGAAATGAAGATTATAGCGTCCACACGTCTGTTCTAATAGCTCTGGCGAAAGAAACATATCTGAGTGGAACTTCTTCCTTACAAATGGAATAAGGGGGAAAAGAGGCTTAGTCAACTCCGTGGATGCAACATGGAGAATCCTAGTCGGAAAGGTTTAAACAGGTGTAATGAAAGAACTAAATTATATTATATAAAAACCAGGTTACGTAACATGTTCTTTGTGCTTCCAACTTGTCAACAGAATTTTGAAATAAACTGAAATATTACAAATCTGTGTGAGTTTCGTTATCTTTTGCAAATGGATTTCATAATGCCCTTATATTTGAATGTTGAATGAATAAGAAACCATATTTGAAATAGATCAATATTCGATTAACATGCATGGTGACATTTTGTGTATACTGGTTGATTGATCTATTTTTGCAGTTTATCAACATTTTGAGACTTATTTAAAGCCTGACAGTATTTTTAAAGAATTGTTAGAATTTTTTGTAAGCAATAATTTACTGATATTAGTCATACTGTTTAACCCATAACTGGGAGAGAAGAGGTGAATTCATACCTCTCCCAAGGGTATTTGTGCGTAATTGAATATAACGAACCCGACGGGAATTGGAACTCGGCTCTCCGATTTTAAATTCCGAGACGTTATCTATTACACCAACTGTACATCCAAGCTTACAGCCAATCTGGTATTCCCAAGTGGTCACCCATCTAGGTAATGACTAGGCTCGTTGTTGCTTAATTTCTGTGGTCTGACGAAAACTGGTGTTTCTACGTGATATGCTTTTGTGTATATTTCGATGTGTATTCACATCATCTTCAGAAATGAAAGTGACGATTTTACCTATGAGCAAGCCTACCAATTTTGAAAGACTATATCAGCATCCTTTCTAAATTAGTATGCATACTCAAATAAATGTGGCACTGAAATCCGAAGGGTCATTGGTACAGCGAAATTTCCCTTCCAAAAGCCAAACAAGGTATTAAGAAATAGGTAAATTTAGTTAGTAACACAGAGATTAGAGAATTACTATGTCATATCTATCTCAATACATAGCAGTGAATGCTGGACAATTTCAATACAGAAGGAGTGTACAAGGAGGCAACAGAGATGTGGTTCTACAGAAGGATACTGAGAATACCGTGGAGGGAGCAACAAGGGAGTTTTAGCAAAAAATGAAAACAAATGGGGCATACTTAAATTCAGAAAGAATCAGCTGATATCTTTAGGGCAAATAATTTGATACCCATAAGACGTACTGAAGGCAAGATTTGCCGGGGAAAATAATAGTAATCTATCATTGTGTTAATAGATAGCATAACTAAGTGGGAAAGATAGTAAAAAAAAAAAAGAAAAAAAAAGAAAACTTGTGGCTCTAGACAACATGTGTCTTTTAGGAAGTTGTGGAGAGTCATGACCTTCTACGTCCTAGAAGGACACGGAACATAAAAATTATCAACAGACGTAACAATACACACTGTAATTAAATACCTTTAAATGACTTTTAATTACTTAGATGAAGCATCTTCAATTATTAGGAATAATTTATATATATTACTTTCGTGTTCAGTGTTGTTCATTATGTCGATGTAAGCAGAATTAAAATTAAAGTATTTGATAAATTAATTATCATGACATTTTGGTAAAGTTTAATAATCATACGAGACTAAATCTTCCATACTTAAAAAAAATGCTTATTTACTTTACTATTTCCCTCCGTCAAATTAACATTGACCGAATCGAGGATATTTGATTTCGAGTGTTTCTTTGAACGTTCGGTCCTTTACGAGAGTGTGAGGTTTGTGTCCTTGCAGCTTGGGTTTTATATAACGTTTTCTTAACTGGTTGTCTTGTTTGTGTATACCCTGGATCCACTTGATTGTTTTGGTGCAGCCCGAGTCCGTACAGGGTCATTTTAAGTAACATTCTCGGCCTGTGATTCCCGAAGTGGGCGCGCGCTCTACAGTGTGGGGGTGATTTTTAATGGGATCGGGCAATTCGAGAATAAGTTTCTAGTGAGCATGCGTGAGTATGAGTGTGTACGCGACTTAATACATACAGTCTATATACAGCATGCCCACATAAAAATATTTCTGTGTATGTACATGTGTAATTACGTATGTACTCTATATGATATATGTATTTATATTAGCATCACAGTATAATATTTTTTTTTAAATATTGTAAATTTCTAAATTTAAATTATGATTAAAATTAAATTAAATTATATATATACAGTTTCAAATTCTTAAGGAAAATTAATAGCCTTTTAGGCGTTCTACATGTGAATAGGGGTCACTTTTTGAATAATAAGATTTATATGTCACGGGGGTGGGGGTCAAGGTGCTTGGGTTGGGCACAACCAAAAAATAATGGTTGAGAACCACTGTTTTAGGTCAAGCTTCGTGGTTTTTAGGTCTTTTGAATTTCTACGGTCACACAAAAATTAGTTTCGTATTTCTTAGAGTGAACACTGCATATATTGATGTCACTACAGATTAAATCTTTTTTAAAAATTTTCTTGTTGGATATTAAATTCAGTTCAGGCTTTTGCTATAATACTAATTTTATGCATATATGTTGGTAGCATAAAGGTTACCGGCGCTGAAAGAAGAATCGTCCTACTAATGGGGAAAGCATGAATCCATTTCTCTCCCCAGCTTCAGGTTAAATAGCAGCGTTAATCGAATTCTTTAGGCCTGGATAGCAGCCAATTCGGAATTTCAAATAGTGGAGAATGTCCTGCAAAACCATTCCACCTTATTCCTGAAGAACTCATTCACAGCTAATAAATCTGTGCAAAGTTCGAATCAACTACAACCTGAAAGGAATTGGTATTTTAAAGAAAACTCCCAGTATAAAAAGGCCTTTCAAAAGCTAAGCAAAGTATTAAGAAACAAGAAAACATCGTTAGAAAGAAAGAAAAGAATACTGAATTATTGTGTAATATCAGTTATCTCCTATAGCAGTGAATGCTGAACAAACTCCTCACAGATGAAAAAGAAAAGACATGATACAACAGAAATATGGTTCTCCAGAAGGATGCTGAGTATACAATGAGCCGACGAACGACGAAGTTCTAGAGACAATGGCAACAAAAGGACCGCTTTAGGAAAAGACTGTTGAAATGTCTAGGGCACATAATGAGGAAAGAGGGTTTGGAAAATTTGATACACACAGGACATATTAAAGGTAAAATGGCTAGAGGAAAGCAACGCGCAACATACTTGGCGAGTTTAAGCGAATGGATGGTGGAGCAGAGTTTGGGAGAGGTGGCAAAAATACAAAGTCATTAAAAGCTACAGAAAATTGAAGAGAGCCATGATCATTAACGTTCTGAAGAGACATGGTACATAGAAGAAGAAGAAAATGGCGGCGTAATGGTTTTCGCATAGATATAGAATATAACTGCATGGTCAGATCAGAATCACTGTAGACGTTTTTTCTTCGGAGTTTCATCAATGAAACAGCTATCACATTACAGGTCGTCCCCCAATTATAAGAGACGAATTCTTTGAAGGCATATTCTTTATATCATGCCCATGGTGCTTATTAACAATCATAAAATGGCAGTCTGTGAAATACGAGAGAAAACAATAGAAATTAAGATGACTGGAATATTAGTAAAAATTAAGAACAAATGTATAAAAAAAAATAGCAGAAACACAATTTTGCCTAAAATTGAAAGTCATTTTCTCGTTTTTCTCAACCTCTCTGCCGGGATACTTCTTAAATGAGCTGCGAAACATTGTCACGGTATATATATATATGTGCGTTTTTTGTGTGTAAACAGTAATGGTACACTGTTAGTATTTGAATAATTGAATGAGTATTAAACATTTTTTAAATACTTCTTTTCACTATTCTATTATGTTATTTTAAATCAGTCAGTTATGTGCCATGCGGGATACACACTTAGGCGATCATGTATCTTTCGATATGTGACTGACGAGACAGATTTTTTCCCACAGTAGGTTGCCATTTCTTTCTGCGGCAGGCCAGTTACCATCGAAGGCTACAGAACCCGGTCTGTCCTGAGAAGAAGTGGATTCATACCTTTAGCACGTAAGTGAATGTAATGGATTCGACTGGAATTCGAACTCGGCTCTCCGATTCCTCAATCCAAGCCAATATCCATTACTCCACTTTATACTTTGCTTAAATATTCGTTTTTTTTTAAATACCCTTTAAAAATTTTGCTATGTGCCGTGACATTTTCATATGCTCCTACGTGTGGCGTAGCTTAAAAAGGTTGGGAAACAGACCAATAGTTCTGAACCTTTTTGCCCAACGCATCCTTTTCACCATACATCAGAATATCACCCCTCCCTTTCCATCATTGTCCGATTCAAAAGTTGCATTCCAAATAATATGCAAATATTATTGAAACTCTTCATCCTTTTTCCATATTAGTGCATATACATTTAAATGGAATATTTTTATAGATGAGTTTTACAAATTTAATAGTAATAGAAAACGATGAATTTTTAAACTTAAAAATGAAACACTGAAATTCCTCCTAGGGGAATTTTCCTTGGTTGTGGACCACTGTTCAAGACAATACGAACATTGGCAAATCAAAAATCAATGCGATTTACAGAAAATTAATGAAGACTTTTGGAAACACAAGAATATATAGCAACATTCATTTCCGAGGAACTTCTACTGTAATGATAACGATCACGATAAGAAACGCCCAACCTCTGCCGAGGACTACCTCTTTTGTCTAAAATGAATTGTAATGGAAATTTATTTATAAATTGTTACCCTACGTATACAGCAAGGTGATACTTAATTTTTTTTTTAGAAGATATCATGTTTTTCCTCTTTACTCTTATTTTTAACGATAATACAAGGCTTTAAGCAAATAGAAGCCTTCCATGATTATGGAGCGCAAAAGAAAATTTTGGCAAATTTAAACGGAGCGTCTACTCAAATATGGGCATCTACAAAATAACGTTTAAATATATATATATATATATATATATATATATATATATATATATATATATATATATATGTGTGTGTGTGTGTGTGTGTGTGTGTGTGTGTAAAAGAATGCACACTTCCTTAAAAGGGTAGCAACTTTCTTGGGATGTGGTGCTCTTTTATGTCCGTTGTGTTGAAATTTGATGAAAGTATGAAAAAAAATATTATGCCACCTTTTTATAATTAATAATTTACGCAAGATAGCATGGACATCAATATCTCTATCGATATCATATATATTTATGTGCATTGCTGATATCCCCTGAAGAGGGGACGGACAGGTCTGCTACCAAACTCTGGAGATTTGATGCTGAAAATAACATTAATCAGCTAAGTGACAATTTTTTATTTATATCTCTCTCCTTCTCATCTCTATCTATCTCTATCACACACATACATATATATATATATATATATATATATATATATATATATATAAATATATATATATATATATTGCCCTCGTGGTTATCGGGACAGGGGCGGTTCTAAAGAACCTTTGAAATGGGTTGTAAGAATTAAAAATCAGTGAAAATCAAACGCCAATATGAAATGAAAAAATGAATATGGCTGAAGTGTTGCGAATTTTTTTTTATCTGTCTTATGTATCATTAAGAAAATAATTAAAGTCACTTTACTACTACTACAACTAATACTACTACTGTTGCTACTGCTATTAATAATAATAATTATTAACATTAGTAGTATTAGAATTCATTGATTAGCGCTTAACACCAGTGAAACCAGGTGTCTACCATTGGAGATAAAGTGACAGCAAGTTTTGCCAA